ACTAATACACACACATATATACACACGCACAGACAGTCACGTGGGTATGAGGAAACGACCTAATAACAGTGTGAAGGTGGGAAGATCTCTTTCTTCGCTTGCTCTAAAAAGGATAGATTGACGCTATATTGTGGTCTACTGCTAGGCTGCAAGATCTACGACTTTGAGCTCGACACCTCTGGTTTATAAAAAACACCTAATTGGTCAGGAGCTGCCTGCGGAATCGAAGGTCGTGGGTTCCGGTCTTGATGGAACCATAATTTTTTTTAATGACATTGGTTCCCACGTCGACCATAAATGGGTACCAGGTTCAGTCATGGGAAGTAAAGGCGGCCCATTGGATTTAAACACATAACCCAAAGAGTGCCGACTGGTCTATAAAATAAAAGATTAGCAGTATATTCTCAGTATGCCTGAAAACGTGTGGAAAAAGGTCGCTGAATTTGCTTATACTTGACATAACAGGTCGCCTGTCAGGACTTGATAGCTATGCAGCAATGGCTATATTCTTTGTGTTGTTTTAATGGCCCACTGGAACCTTTACGGGCAAAAGACTGTGCTGTTCTTTATTGTGCTGACTGCTGCCCAAAGTATCGCACAAAGCACTATCGTCCTAGCCTCAGTGCCAATCATCTTTGAAATCCTATAATATGGCGCATGTGATCAAAACACTCTTACATAACGCACGGATTTGTTGCAGTGTATGGTTTCGGTGCCTGAGATACTGTGTTTAGTGCTTGGTGCAGCCCTGTGAGCTGTGTTTTTCATGCGGAGTGCCCTTTATTTGTGCGGCGGTTGAGTCGTGGTATTCAATATGGCCGGTAGCCGCTCTATATGTGAGCTGGTGAAATACCTTATGTAATAATTCTATGTGTGTATAGCCAACTTATTGTGCCTGACTACTTCCATCAACGACCAACTGCATTTCTGGTGGCGACAGTGGGTTTTTGCACCTCCAGAACTGAAATATGTATTTACTACGTGCGCATATTTCTGGATTTTTCTAGGACTAATTTTTGTTCGTCAGGTTTTCAAATGCGACAGTGAGAGACATTTTGTTGATTTTCACTAGTACAGGAAGAAAGCAAGTTTGAGGAATCTCGACTGCAGTGAATTTGAAACCTTGACTAAGACTGAAACGTTAACTGTATACACGTTAATGGCTTTTGTAGAGTGGTTATCTAAAAATCTATAACCAGAACAATTCGAAACAAAAAGTGGAGTTAAATATTTTCTCTCGACGCGGTCTACCCGAAAGGACAAAAAAAATATACTGGGTTATAATACGTGATGTCACATAATTATTTCTCTTCTTCTTCTTCTTTCGTTCGCTTGAAACAGATTATCTAAATTTGCAATGTTGTCTCTAGTATGAACTTCACTGTCTTTTGTAATTCACTCAGTGACCTAAAGTTTGGCTTGCACCTGTGTTTCTCTTGGCCAAACGTTTTGTTGTGAATTGTTCCACATGGAACAATCTTGGAGGACGTGATCTGTTGTTCCGGTGACAATCCACATGTGCACATGGGTGATTCGCCAATCTTAAATTGTGTATTCATGTGGCTGCAAGTGGATATTATGGACAGACAAGAGCAAGTCATTATTCTATGCCTTAGAACGGGAAACATAATTTTTTATCTCCCCCAAATTGCCCGCCGTCGTAATGCTGACCACATTACCCACCCACTTCCGACTGGTCTGTAAAAATAAAGGATGCTCTTTCCAAACGCCCGATGCGCCAAAGGCGTGAAAAGGGATATTTACTTTTATCTTTATCATACCTGTGACCCCCTTCCATTATCATGCAGTTCGGGCATTCAAATATTTCTCTTTCTGTCTTTTTTTTTTTTTAAACCGACAGCTATGGCAGATTTAGTTATTGATCTTATTCGTTCTAATAACGTTCCAGATAATCTTGACTCTGCCTGACTGGTCTAATTCATTTTTCCTTGAAGGACTGCCCTATTTGTGTTGTCTGTTAGTAAATTATGTGCTTTGCATTTATCTTAGAAACTACAGTTCCACTGCAAGTATTCACATATTGTTCAGTTTGATTGCTTATTGTCATCTACCTAGTGCATACACCGCTAAGTTGATTTTTGCACTCTAACTCACTCTAACACATTTTTGACATCTTTGTTATCTGTGAGTATGTTGCACATCTTGTCCTAATACTTCGTCTTTTAGAAAACTGTTATTCTCTGTAAAGTTTCTTGCTTCTGATGTTAAAGCTATCACAAGATAATCGGGCCGACCCATTGAGTTTCACATTTTTAAAACTATCATCCCCTAGTACGAGTCGGTTTGATAGAATTACGACTCGTTTGATCAAAAACCCCAAAAGAAAATGTAATCATACTATCATCTGAACAAAGAAACATAAACATCAAATTATACGATTAATTAATCATCATCATCACAAATTTCCTCTTGCTTGATGCGTATCAGTCGTTAATTTTATTTCCTTCTGATGTAGAATGTCTTTAAATCACTAATCTATCGTCTGCTAGTGTGGAAAGCAACGTGAAACTACCACATTACTGTCCCAAGAAACTCATCATGGAAGCCAAAAATGAAACTCAAAGATCTGATGGTGAGGCCTCCAAGGCCAGGCAGATCACAAACGAAAACTGCAGAAGAGAAAATTTATTAT